CATCAAAATCACCAACCCTTAAGAAATAGTATTCATGTGACAACATTTCTGTGATAAAAGTAGTTCTTGTGTGCATGCAGACTTTGCACCACACCACAAGGACAGGATTTACATAAGATGCGTGTTACTTCATTGTACAGCATTATCTTGTGTCAAACATATTCTGAGGCAAAAGCTGAAGGATGGGAGTTTTCAAGGGTTTTTCAGTGTACATTTGCTTTTATTAGGTCACCTTAGGTATCCCAGAGTGGTTTTTCAGTTCTTTGAGAATGTCTTTGTTAAAAGTTTTCCTTTATAGAAATAACTGTAATCATTAATCCAGAAGAGAGTAACTATTTTTAAAATTATCTTTATATAAGAGGTTGTTTCTGTCTTAGAAAAATGGTTCCTGTGTTTGCGGATAATGGTGTATAAATGGAGAAGGATGGCTATATATATCAGCCAAAAACACTGGAAAATCCAAAAGAGGAAAATTGTTGTTGTAAACTGTCTCTTGTTTATGCTCCTTTTTTGTAGTACAACCAGAGGTCTGGTCTTTTCTCTGGGTAGCTGGCTTTATTAAAAAATCATATGAACAAAGCTATGTTATTGAAAAATGTAATCCAGTGGGTCTGTCTTGGGTTACTACTTCTGTAGTCAGCCCCTTAAAATGCGGAGAGAGGAATGATTTGCAGCCCTCTTTGGACATCCATAGAAACATTTAAAGACTGTTGTAGGTATCTATTTTCTGCTGTGGGGATTTTCCTGAGTTACCATTGCCATTTTTTAATTTTTGGGCTCCCAAGGGCCAATCCCTTGCATTGGTAGCATTTCAGACAACTTGTCTCTTTCACTATCTGACTTACATACCACTACACATTTAATGGGGATTAGAGCTGAATTAAGTCCATCCAAAAGCATCTATATTGGCTACCTTGCTGTTGCCTGTGGCTGGCTCACAGAAGAGAAATAACATGAAAGGCAAGTTATGATGGTTTCTATTAATATCTGCTTCAATAAAATCGGAAATGGCACAACAGCTAGGCAGATGTGAAGAAAAGGGAATGGTATCTCAGACTTATCTCCACTGAGGTGATGTTTCAAATGCTTTTGGGGGAGACACAAGAGCAGTTACGTTCTAAGTTATATTTAATATCCCCAAATGAGAGAGCTGTCCTCCTTCCCCCAAAACACCTCTGTCTGTTCAACCAGGGAAGATTCCTTTCATCAGCATTAGCAATTCCCTTGGGGACCTGATTTTTGTTCACTAATGCACCAAGCTGTGATCATGCACTGATATTAGGAATTTCCTTGACTGCTGAAAGCCCAGGAAAATGCCAACTTGATAGTGATGGAAAAGACAAGAGAGCTGCCTGTCCACTAGATTCAAAATTATTCCTCCAGAGCAATGACCCACAGCCTTCCAGGGCATCTGGATAAAAATATTAAGCAAGCACCATGGACAAAAATCATACTTGCCTCTTACTGTTAGCCCGTGCTATGGTGGTTGCAGCCTCAGATTTTAATTTCCTTTTGCCACATAGTGTTGGACGTTTAGTTCTGAAATTAGGAATTAATCTCTACCAGCATAGCTGTTTGGTTCCTGAAGATGTGCTCAACCTAATTATAAGTCCCATGCTAATGCACTAGCTGTGGCACAGAGCTCAGCTATGGGTGACTGCCCAACTGGTGGCCTCTGCAGCCTGCACTGGTCTTAGTGCGATCACAGCAATGCAGAAACAAATCCCGAGTGTGAAAATGGGGCTGTAGGCACAAACCTGTTGTCATCAGTGGGATGAGATGTTATATTGTGAATGGGGAAAAAAACCCTTACCTAACCACAGGTTTCTGCATGTACCTGGGAGGTGCGTACTTTGTTCACGAGGCAGTCTCGTATGTGAAATGATGCTCATTTTTAAATGAAGGAATTTGAAATGTAGAAGAAAAAAATACAATCTTACCACCTTATCCAGAAATAGACACTTTTGGGAAATAAGTGCCATTTCACAGTTTCATCATGCCTTGAAAGCTAAGCAGTTGAAAAGGTCCATTCACCCTCATATTTGCTCACTCAGCATAAGTCAGACCCATGGACGCAGCTGCATCCCTGCAGGGCCCCCAGGGCCCATCCCTGGGAGCGGGGCTGTGCAGGCTGGGAGCTACAGCAGCTCTGAAGTGCTGGCATATGTTATACACCATAGCCTGCACTAAACATTACCACCCATGTCATTTGGTCTCTTTGGAGGGATTTAATGAGGTGTGAGTTATTATATAATTTGATCCCGGGTTATTTGCAGATGCAACCATTGTAGCTGAATCTCTTCAGCCAACAGATTCGGTCACTAAATAGGTAGGCTTTTAACAATTTTAAAAGTCTGTAAATCATTTTGATGAGCTTAAAGAATGCAGTAATTAAGAAGCAAAGACATTTTAAAGCCTAAGTCTAACGAACATCTTTCACCCACATTTCTTGTGTCTGTGTTTCTAAATCATGCCTGTGCAGCCATGCACATTCCTTTGCTGCAAACAAATTTTATGACGTGATGGCTCAGGCATTAGCATACATGGATACAAATATATAATTGAGATTGGATTTAACTTTAAAATTACGCCTCTGTAATGGAGCTGGAAATCAGCAAAAATTCTGCGCCTGATTGCAGTAAGTATTTTCTCAATATCTAACCTCGGTACAGTCAGGTAAGCAGGAATATCAAAGTTATCTGCTGCAATGCCATCTGGTGATTCTCAGTAATATTACACTTCTGTTTAAAAGCAAAACAAACAAAAATCCCAAGGAAATCATGCTGTGTAGCCAGCAGGTTAGAGAAGGACTCAGAGTTATCACAGTGTATGCTAATTATGGTGCTTCAGCTGAGCAAGCTGTTTTCCTTCCATTCGCTGGAACATCTGACCAAGAGGGGTCAGGCATTTTGTGGAAAAATCTCTAAGGGGCTGCCTAGCCAATTAAAAAAAGATGCAAAAAACTTTAAAAATAGACTTGTGTCAGGCAGAATTCAAAAATAAAATCAAATCCTGTGGTGAAGGGAGCTGTAGCTGACTGTATGCCAGCTGTGTCCAAGCTCCTTTGGACTCCTGAGAGCTGTCCTTTCAGTGACTGTTCTGTCCAAAAAGAAACAAGGAATTAGGATTTCAAATTTGATTTCCAGTTGATGCTAGGGTTAGTTTCTGAATCTGTACCAAAATTAAGATATTTCCGCAGAAGGTCTGAAGAAATATAGCTAAGTTAAGGCCTCCATGCAGATGTTGAACCTTAAAATAGATTTGAAGAGTGTAGAAAACTGTTTGACAGAGAATTTTCATGGTTCATTTCCTGTTTCCTTAAGTAATCCTGAAGTGCAGTCTGCCTTTGGATCCACTATCAAATTGCTTAAACCAGCACTTAAAAATGTTTTCCTTTTCTAATGAGGAGCTGCCCTTGGAGAACACTGTTTCCAATTTCAGAGGCATCTGACTGTAGCTGGAGCAAGTTTCCTCTTGTCTGTCCCAGAAGTCAGCTTTATGAATGTTAAGCTCCATATCACGCCAAAAAGCTCTCATGTTTATTAAGCCAGTGGAAGTTTTTAATGAGAGAAAAACTCAGAAGAGAGCTTTTGCTGGAACATTTCTAGCTGACTTAAAGCATGATGCAAGGCACTCATGGAAATTGTTCTGATAATAAATGCCTGAGAAGGAGCAGGACTGAGCCATGAGAGTCAGCCATGGAAAAAGCACTTAAACATTTGGCAGACTGCATCAGGTTGGTTTAGATGTGATGTAGTTTTATGCCAATTGAGAACAGGAATTGAAATGAAT